GACCGCCCCTTACGAAATACCGTATTCACGGTACGCGCGTTTCCAAGGAAGAGAATTCGCGCGCGACACGCTACGACGGGAAATTGGTTTTCATTGTTGTAAAAGTGTTCCACTCCTTTCAGACGATTGTTCAAATTCAATTCTGCGCTCGTAAACCGTATTGGGACCGCTGGAAACTTCCCGTAGCCGGAGATATTAGAAACTCCTCCAAGACGAAAGGGAGAAAGAGAGACAGAGAGACAGGAAAAGAAAGAAAAATGACTTAGTTGGTTACTCGTCAGCGATAAAGGTTACAAATGACGTAGTTAATAGACGGGTTTTTTTTTTTCTTCGTCGTCTTCTTCTTTTTTTCATTCTTTCGATGAACAGGTGATAATTACGGAAAACGCTAACGGGGTAAGCAAAGCAGCTCTTTACGGAGAATAACACCGTTTTTCTGTCGGTGTAGCCGACTCGTTCGCTGCTTAATTATGCTTACAGGTCGGCCAAACACGGACGCGTAGTTTATATTAATTACACCCCGGAAGATTCAATTAGTGCATTTCTCATTACACTTACTTATAGCAGTATCCATTATTCATGAGAAACCGCGCGCAGTTTCAGAGGATACCTGACAATGTATGTGATCGTTACAGGCTATTGTTGCAACAGTTTCTTTTTCTTTCCATTCTTCCTTTTTTTTCCTTTCTTTTTCTTTTTCGTACGCGACACTCGATGAAAATGTGTCCAACACGCGCAACACTGAACTGGCAAAATTGCCTCGTTAATGGAAAACCTCGTCGACTGTCGTTTCATTGTTAGTGCAGTTCCGAGAATTTTTCTTTGTTAGATCGAGCAATTGTTAACCCGTTAAGTGTTTATGAAATCCGCGATTTTGGACGTGGAGTGAAATAGTATGTGACAAGTCTATTGGATGAGCCGTTGACTTTTCGTTTTACCTTTTTTTATGTATGATTGCTCATTGTTTCGGAATGAAATAATTTTTTTTTCTTCCCATCAAAAAGGAAAAATAATACGCGGTATCCGGTCTTTTAACATACGTTTCGTTTTATCCACTTTGTTCCATTTGTTTCATCCTCTGCGCGAAGGTAAGCTTTAGTGCTCTTGCGGATATTGGATTATACGGAATTATTGAAATTATTGGAATTATTGAATTATCCTATTATCAAAGTATTATTAAATTGGGATTTATTGAATTCCGCCGAGGTAACATGTAATATGTTACGACGAATCTATGGAAGTAGCTGAAAAAGGAGCAGAAATTTTACAAGTACACTTTTGGTTCGTCCAAACCAGAAAGGAATATTTAAAGATGAAAATAAAATATAATTTCGAAAAATGATCTCGGAAATATTCGTATACGAATTGCTCTCGTACATTTTATATAGAATTATTAAAAACATTCTGTCTTGCAACTGACGTTCACTCGCGTCAAGCGTTCCCACAATTTTGCAAAGCCAAAATTTCTCCTTTGCTAAAATTTTCTCTCAATTACACGTTCTAATACGCGTCTTTCACCCGCGTGTTTAGATCTTCTTCACGAGGGTTCTACGTTCGAACACTCTATTTCGCAAGTAGATGCATCGTTGATTGGATTAACGAGAACCGGCGGCGACTTTTAAACAAATTGTATTTTTAATAGATGTTACCAACCAACAGGGGAGCAAACTTTCCGCTATAACTTTCAGCGACGGTTAATCTGCCCTCTCCCCGGGGTTTAATCGAATTCAAGAAGTTTTAAAGTTTGATCCGTATTTACATCGGTTGCCAGGGCGAGTTTTCTTTCTAGCCTAGCTCCTCGTCGTCCTGCACCAAGCCGCACAAATTTTCAACCGGTTTTCGACACTGGCCACTCGTTTTCCTTTCTTTCTCTTTTTTTTTTTCTTCTTTCTTTTCTCTTTTTAGTCCCACTCCTCTGTCGAAATATTTTAGATCGTTTCAGCTTCAGTTCCATCCGTTCGAGAGCAGTGAAAGAGCGTGAAAATAATATTCTCTCTCCTCGCTTCTCTCTTTTTCCCGCGTCGAGTCTCTCTGATGTTTTCTTTTGCTTTTTGAAACTGTGCACAACGCGCAATCGACGCGCGAATCGACGGCGTAGCGCGTAGAAATTCGCGCTGCCTGGCTTTTTTCACGCGAAAAACCCGTTCAAACAGAACGGAAAGGAGCGAGCGAGCGAAAAAGAGAGAGAGAGAGAGAGAGAGAACGAGGAAGAGAAGAGCGTTAAAATGAGCTACTGCACACAGCGGAACTTTAAACAGATAATCCGGGGCAACGCTGTTTCGTTCGAATTGCTTAAAACTGTCTTCGGTTCGATGGCTGAAAACGCGAGGAGGAGAGAGTAGGTCAAGGAGGTGCTTGACAAATCTCCTTCGACTTGCTCTCGATATTTTCGCTCGAGTGTTCCGTTCGAGAAAAATCAACTGTGCCGCGAGTGCGAACGTTGCTTCGTACTTTACAAGAATTTAAATAAGATCGGGGGCGGAATCGAAGACAGATAGAGGGTAAGGTGATTTTCAATCGACGTGGCTCAATCAAATTCTTTAGACCCGGGGGGGAGGGGGGAGGGAAGAGATTCTACGGAATCGGCGGCGGCGGAGTGTCTCCCGGCTATATATATCCCAAGCCAAATACCATTTCGTGGTTGTCAAGTGTTCAAACGTACAAATATCACCGAGGTTGCGCGGGAATTTAACACGTTTCGCGTCACATCTGTCACCCGCGAAAATTTGTTTTCTTCCTTTCTTTCTCTCTCTCCCACACACACATACACACACATATACACATTTCTTTGCCTTGATCTAAAATTATGATGAATGTGTCTTCACGAAAATTTTCCAATGTTCCAATCCAATTTTCAATACTTTCCAGAATTCTGTATCTTCTGGTTATCATCTTATTTGGATTATTTACAATTATGCTTAAACTATCTGGAAATTATCAATCTAAAATATCTCGTAGCGAAAGTAGAAGTTTTTCGAGATAATCGAGAAGTCGAAGCACGTGCCAATTATAAAGGGTTGATTAGAAAGATAATTATGCAGCGTCTATCGTTTCAGTCGGGGGCACATATAGAGAAATTTACATAATGAGACCGAAACGTACTCTGAATTCTTCAGCAGAAAAAAAATAGTCGAGTAACATTCTCTTGCACTATCAAGTTAATTAAATGAGATTAACTACGAAGAAAATGAAAAAAAAAATTTTTTTTTGGAAACAGCTGAGATTGGAAAAGGAAAAGAGGCAGGGAAAGTAAATTCCAATGAATTAAAATCTTCGAGAATTGGATCAAAAATATTTTGGTGGAATGAAATGCGCGAACGAAGATAAATAATTTTTGCGTCGAACGGAGGGAAAACGGAAATGCTCTCGACGAACGTGGATGCTTTTCGACGTCAGCCAGAGCTCGAAAATTTGTGGATTTTTCCACACGCGGAAAATCGATACGCGGCGGGAGGGGTATCGCGATTCTATCGGCAAACATGGATTACACTACACCTGGACGTATAATCCGCGAAATGGACGATTAATAACGATCGAGTATATGCACGTTGGAAAAAAATGAAATATGAATCAGAAAATTCTATCAAACGCGTAACGTGATTAAACTGCGGACACGCCAAGCATTTTGTCATAAATTCCACCGATTAGCGATCCTGCCATTGTTATTTTCTCCTTTTTTCTAAACCTGCCGCTGCTCCAGTATTTTCTAATTTCTCGAATATCTCGTTAATATTACGCACGATTTATACGTTCGCGATAATATTGCGATTAATAATTTTTACAACTTCTTCACTGAGTTAATCAGGAGTAATTAACTTCATTCGATGGCATTTCTGTAGGGAACGAAACAGACTGAAATTTTACAAGTTGAAAGACTGAAAAAAATTCTAGCTGTTAGTATCTGGTAATTAAATGATTTTAGAGTCGATAAAAAATATTCCATCGTTTTTAATTGGTCTCTATACTTTGAAATTCGATATTAAAATTTATTACACGACATTATCATAATTGAATTATTCAACTTTCCTCTTCTTACTCTGTTTCGTTCAGAAACATATACTTTCAACCTCCTCACGATTATTTGAAAAAAAAAAAAAAAAAATTCTAACGAAACAGAGCTAATCTTTGCAAAGATTAAAAGTGAATGGAATTTCAATAATACAACTCGAGGCAATTCCAAGCTCTTCCCTGTTAACTAAAAAGTCCGTGCTGACCATAGAAATCTAGAGTTGTCGATAGAAACGAAACGAATCTAATCGTAACAAAATGTAACTGTATGTCTCGCGAATTAATTAAAAAGCCGTTTATAGAAAGGATGGAGAGCAAAACAGGAGCACGTTCGACCGCTCGAAATTGGGTAAAAAGAGAAAAAAGAAAAAGAAGAAAAAAAAATAAAAAATGAAAAGAAAAGAAAAAGGGACAGAGAAAGACCAACGTTCGACGTAACGTAACAGCAGTTGTACGGTCGCATTCCAGGGTGACCTGAATCTCGGCCTGACCTTCCTCCGCGCATACTTTCTTCGCGATCGAACGAAGCAAATAGCCGTCGACCGTCCGAATATCGTCTGGAGACCCGTTACGTCCTCAGCGAGGCGGCTCACGTGCCGCATAAAAGCGGCGATGGCTGACTCGTACGAAACGACACACGTCTATTTTATCCGTCGTCCACGCCGGCATTTAATCATTCCGCGGTGCGCTTGCACGCTTCATGGAATTCCCTTATTCGTCCGGGGACATACATATATGTAGGATCGGCGGATGCGTGGCACCGTTCAACGTCGACGAATCGGGAGAAAGAGCGATTCTTCGTTCTGTGCCGGTGAGCTGCTGCACGCTCAACAGCCGTGCTCTGGTCTTTTTGACCCGCGCCGGAACATTTCCACAATGTTGCAGGGATATCGCGCGTCCATCGAGTTGGATCCGTACACACATACACACGCACACACAACAAATACATAAACGCGCGCGTGAGAGAGTACGAGATAACGATTCAATCTTACCTGGGTTGCTGTCGGCGTTCGAGCTGAATAGAACGCACAGGCCGGTCTCGTAGTTGACCGCCTGGCAGGAATCGTTCGCTTGACAGGTCTCCAAGCAATCGGTGAGCATCAGCGTACCAGGTATGGACTCGAGCATGTTCGTGGGCGCAGTGAACACGTAGCCGGTCACCAGCTCGAAGCCCACCATTTCTGGGTCGCACTCGTCGGAACCGGCGGATGGCCCCGTGTAATCTGGCCCAGAAAGCCCCGACGGCACCGCGGAAGGGGCTGGCTGCTGCTGGTCAGCCGCGTGCGTCGACTCCGCCGCCGCCGCCACGCGACCCAACCTCGCCATAGCCTGCAGCACCAGCAACGCCGTGATGAGTCTTGTCATCGTGCCGCTCCACCTGTTTCGCGATCTTCAACTGTAAACAGAGAAAAAAGAAAGAACGGCACACGATTACTTCATCGGTTTTCGATTCATTGGTCGAGAATTGATCGACTCGTTCGGTTGAGAACTCATCAACTCAGATACGAGAGAGTAAAAGTGGAGCGTTAAATCAGATTAATCGTAAAAATAAAAATAAGCGAATGACAATTTTGAAAATACTATCTTTCAGATCATCTTGTTGCGACAGGCTGAATTTTTAGGAACGACTCGAGTCGATCGACTACATTCCCTACAGTTCGAATTAAACTTGAAGTGTTCTAAGACTTGGAGTGTTCAGTACTGTTTTTGCGTTAACTCGTGGTTACGACTGATTACGGTCGCGGTTGTAGATCACCGTGCAATCTGGAGCGTTTTAGATAATTTGCCAGTTCTCTCGGTATTAATTTGCGATCTTTGAAATTGTCGCTTATAGCGGATCTTACATCGCGGCACCCTGTGTGACACTGCGGAGAAGAAAATTGATTCCCTCTGGTTCGTTTTTTACGGTTAACGAGCATCGAGGCGCTGGTAGTTAAATATAAACTCGATTTTTAAATGGGACTCGACGTAAGTTTAAAGACTATTTGAATCTATAGCAATCTCAATTTAATCTGACACTTTGCGTCCGTTTTTCAACTCGTTCAACCTGTTCCACGAGCACCCCATAGAAATCTTGTAACGTGAAATTAACGACGATTCCTTCTCACCGCGTTGTTGCGCGTTTTATTTGCATACTGACAAGGGTTAACAACACGAAATAGATAGTCGTAAAGTCTATGATTTGAACACAGGAAGCTGTCGATCATTCTTATTTTTATCAATTGCTGGTAATCGGCAGGTATTCGTTACGCGAAAGTGATCCCTCCATCGGTATTGAAATTTTATTATCACACGATCTTCCAGAGTCTTCAGTCTTGATTTTTTCACACTTTTCATTCTAATAGCTTTTTTTCTTTTTTTAAATTTTATAATATGAAACAATATTATTCATTTCAATTTGGAAAATTAGTCCTAACATCTATTAGACAATTCACGCACGATACTCGGTGATATTTCAAATGTTACGAACTCTTGTCCGCGAAACTCATTGGAGGATATACCAAATTCGATCAAATAGTCCTTCTTCCCCCCCCCCCTCTTTTCTGTTTATCCCGATCTTTACATCGCGCAAATTGAATATCAACCGAATATCAACAAATTGTTCCTCCGACAATATTTGTATCCCTCGAAGCTGCGTCGTCGAAATGTTTCCCATTCTATCAAAACATGCTGCCGTTCCAGCCACGGGGAAAACGTACGTAAATAACAAGCGTATTTCTGCGTACATCTGTTCCGATCGCGTTGTTTTCCGTCGCGCGGAAAACTAAATAACAGTCGCGGCTCGAAACGATTCGAAACGCCTGCGTCCGCGAGTTTTGGCGCGCGCGACCGCGCCTGCGATCGCGCGGCTCGACGAGTGGCCCCCTCGAGGAGCAAAGAGGCTCGAGAGCGTGCGTGGCCGAACCGTTTTGGAATTTGCGTTGAAATTCTGACTCGCGGCCGCGGAAACGAACGCGGGACCACGTTGAAACACGACACAGCCGTGTCGCACTCCACGGAACGACGGTTGAAACAATTACACCCGAATGCACTCACCGCGATACACCACGAAACGCTTTCCACTGGCCGTCTTCCACATACCTGTCGTGAGATTATCGATATCGAATTCGAAGCTGGGCCAAACGGTGCAAACTTTCTCCTCTGCACTTCTTCTCTCCGTGTTCTGCGACCACCACCAGCGAAAAAAAAAAAATAAAAAAAGAAAAACGTGGAGGAATGCGTTTGTATTCACGAAGCGAACGTATCTCTCGATGCGAGGATCACATCGACGAACACCGGCTGCCGGACGACGAGGAGATCGGAGGATCGCGTGCGTTGTCACCACCAGTGTGAAGAAAGAAATCGAGGAAAATCACAAATCGCGGGTCCGGCTAGAGGTCCGCCGAGAGTTGAACTTGATCTTGAGGACGAGAGTCGCGCGAGAGTTTGCCACTCGGTTGGAAATTAAACGACGATTTGCAATGATAATGTACGGACCTCGCGAGCACCGCGCTGCAGGGTATAACGACGTCGACCGGCTGGCTCTTAGGCACTGGGTACACCTGGCTGAGCCGCGGCGCACGACTCTTCCTCGACCGAACAGGCGAAGGGGGAGGGGGCACTGGGACCGCTGCCGACTAAGGAGGACAGAACGGTACGCACAATTCGATCGCAGGCTTCGACACCATTGAAAACAAGCCAACCTCTTTCTCTCCTTCCCTTTCTCGCGTGTGTATGTGCGTGTGTGTGTCCATTGCCTCCACCCGAATTCTTCCCCCATTCCGCTACTTCCTCGTATTCTTATCGGGATCGTAGCTCACTTCACCTCTCTCTCGCCTCGCTGCTACCCACCGCCACGTACCGATAGACCTCGATTTCGTTCACGTAGGCATTTCGGAGCGCGATCCGCTGAAATTCTATTCTTACCAGGCTTCAATTTTTCTAACGTGAATCCGCCCTCACGTTAGAAAAATTTCCTCCTTCGTGCCTTCGTGTCTCACACGGAGTCGCGCTAGAAGAGTCTTCCCTTCTTCCCTTCCTGGATAAGTTGCAATAATTCGACTAATACGATGTATAAAGGTTCATTTCGTACACGCGAATGCACTTTGCCTCGGCGACACTCTCGCGAGGCAGAGATTGCGAGTGACGTTAATGAGCAAACTGGATCCGGTGGAATTAATACGAGGGCAACCAGGGGCTACCACTCGTGAGAACGTTACGCCGACGCTGACAATCGCGAAGTGCCGGGAATTTATTGAAATTTCCACCGATGTTTTACGCGCGCGCCGGATGTTCCGCGCGAAACGATCCCTCGCTGAACCTGAATCAACGCTGCGTTCGCGTTCCATTTAAGACCGTGCGACGCGTGTGACGTGTGACTGATATCCTCCGCCGAGGAAAGGAAAATTTCCTCGGGACACGAGAGAAACGATATATCGGAAGCGAACCGGTCGAAGGAATGCGTACGATGCGTACGACGCGACAGGGAACGTACTCTAACGGTGAGGACGTCAGGCTGCCGAATTATGCGTTACGTGTAAGATCGTGAACAGGCATGCGAGAGGGATTTTGCGCTCTGATCGATTGGAAGGGAAAAAATCGAATCGCAACGTGTGATTAACTGGGGACGGCTAACCCAGAATTTCGCGTTTGCGTGCCGAATAAATGGTAATTATCGCGGCGAGTGTACACACAGGCCATGGTAGCGGACAAGGAATGCAGGAAGATGGCGAGGAATGGGGTGGGGAAGAGGAAAAGCAGGAGATCCCAAAGAGAGCAAAATCGGGTGCACGTGTGAACAGTGCGACCTAAGCGGGCGTCGGTGTCCCTCTGAACGTATACTCTGGCCGATTCACGCCGTGCTTAGATGCTGTTCGACGTGGAAGAAGCGAAACGAACATCGGCTCGGTGAGAAAGAATGGAGGAGGAGAGAGAGAAAGAGAAAGAACGAGAATGAGTTTGAGAGAGAGAGAGAGAGAGAGAGAGAGAGAGAGAGAGAACACGCGAACGAGGAAAAGAGAGAGACACACGTAGGCACTCGGTACCAGGTGCCTATACCATCGCGTCACCATGCTGGAATAACGGTGCCTGGATGTCTCATCGGGTTCAATCGCAATCGGCAATCTTCCGCCGCGGAATTTCGCAAGGAAACGACCGTTTTGTCGTCGTGCTCGTCTTCGTCGATTTACGAGCGGCCGCTATTCGTCCGCCCTTGAGTACCGATCGACCCAATGGCCCCCTGGCCGTGTCGTTTCGTCCGCCGATGCGTGCGTTACCGACGACCCGTTTCTAATAAAGTTACGACCGCCAGTTCCCCGCTGTCGTCCCATTTAATTGCTCTTTTTCGCGTAACGCGTATTGTTCCACGGGCGTTCCCATCCTGACTCGTGCTTTTATTTCTTCGATGAGACTGTGACTTTCATTCGTGTTTAAAAAAGAAATTAACTCGACGAGATAGATAACTGACGTTTCAATTAGTGGCCGTAATTCAATCAGTTCACTTTGCAAGAAGCAATTATTTGCAAATAATTTTTCCTGCAGTCGCGGGGGGAATTATTTCAGGCATCATTCAGAAATGTAATACCTCACTTGGAAATTTACTCAAGCCTGACCGGCGTCGAGCGATTAAGTTCACAAAGTACGTATTATATAGTTTAAACGGAACCCCTAATCACGGATAATAAATTTCATATTAAACCGCGCGATGTGACTAATAACGTAATTAACGTATAATTAAAACGTAATTTGTGCAACCTTATCGCAGTTTGTTTATTTATATATTTACGCGAACTAGTCTGACCAGATTTCCAACTTGTTAAACTAGTCGAGCGGGGACGTTCGATCGTGTTGATTCAACATCGCGTGAAAATTTTAAATATTATCGAAAGTGACTAACGCGAGATTCCTGTCTGGAAAATATTTGTTTAAACCGGTAACACATTACGGGGAACTTTTTACTCCGAAGAAAATTTATCTGGCATACCGCGGCGTATGCTGTTCATATTTTATCGAACGTTTTAATATTTAGACTTTATAGTTCCACCCACTGTAGCTGGAGCTTATGGATTTTCGATATCTTTCAGTCTCTCTCCGCGACGCGGCACGTAATGCCGCGCGTCGCCGCCGGTTATTTCAAGTTTCTCCTTCGATTCAACGTTAACCGAGCAAATAAGATACCGTAATAATGCTTGGCTATGTAACGAGGTTAGAAGCGGTTCAATTGATATTCGCGCGAGTCGCTCTAATGCGATCCAATTATTTTAGTGGCCGGGGAAATAGATTGTATCGACCAATATGTAACCGTGATACCTCCGGCTGACTGAATCGAACGGACGACTGGTGATTCCGAATGGAAATTTTACTGCTGCATCTCCTCGTAGCGACTTTGGAGCAGGCCAATTAAAAAGAGTTGCCCGCCCACAGTGTCCGAGACTGTTTTCTGTCTGCGCTATAACTGCAAGGGAAATCGTTTGGAAATAAACAACAGGGAATCATCAATTACGTGGTATCGTATTTTTCTAACGTTTGTCGTAACAACGTTACAATCTTTAACTTTGTATTTCTTTTTCTTCTTTGGTCTTTTACGGAAGAAAGAGCTTAATACTTCAAGCGTGTACTTCTTTTCTTTTTTTAAGTACTTTTCAAGTACATGTATCTATACAAAGGACTTGAGCATCGAGTATTAAATTTTTAAATTACTCTCCTTGAATTCTCCCCCCCCCCCTCCCCATTTAATCAAGGGAATTTTAATGGTTCATTGAGGAGAAGCTGTTCGATGTTAAGTTTCCTCAACAATTATTACCTCCCTCGCTTTCAGCTGCAGAGAAACAAGTATATAAATCTCTCGACTTATTACGCAATCGAGTCGGACGTTAAACGTCCGGGCCGTTGAAATCGTGAGAATCGTTAAAATACCGGAGGGATTGCGGCGTTTATCAGCGCCGTGGATCATAAAATCCACGTTGAAAAGTAGATTAGCAGTAATACTTAAGCTCGTTCGGCTCGATCGTTGTACGCTTGCTTCGTTACGGTGAATTATGTTATGTAACTTAACTCGGCCAGCTTTTAATTTACTGGTTCGCGCGGCTTAATTTACTGTTGACCGTGCAAGCGTAACCGCGATCCCGAACAAGCGAACGTGCAACAAACGAAACGTACCGAATCGCTGCGGTGCGAACGTTTAACGGGCACGCGACTTATCGCATAACGGCGTAAGGCCGTTCTCGATACAGGTTCTCGGTCAAGCGGATTCTCAAAGTTATGCAGAAGGTTATAAGAGTGTACGAATGTCTTGAATGTCTTGTACAGCGATATACACCACCGCTCCTTCGCCTCTCCGATCTCTCGAAAATTTATAGATGTTACCTTCGTCGTAAAGAAAGTCTTCCACGCTGATTTAATTCGTACCACTTTATCCGCGTGAAAGGGAGAAAGAGATGTGAACTTTCTCTCTCTCTCTCTCTCTCTCTCTCTCTCTCTCTCTGTCCAAGTCAACGTTAAACTGCTAAATGTTATCATCCAATCCCGTCTCTACGAGACGCACTCTAAGAAACAAAGTTAACTCGTGACTTTTCTTCTTCTTCTTCTTCTTCTTGCCGATCCCTTCTGAAACTTTTATTCTCGTTTAACAACGATTCTCGCGGCCGCTTGTTCCCGCGAATCCGTCCTCCTTTCACGGACACCTGAACCCGGGTCGCAAGGTCAATTTAGCCGTTGTCCTCGAAAAATATGACGCGTTACGATTTTTGCAAAATTTCCTCGGCCGTTATTATGATACTTGAGGCGATCTACGGTCTTTATGTAGATTTCGAGGTGACCTAGAAAATTTCAGACCTGGAAACATTCGCCAAACCCGCAAAGACTCTCTCTTTGTTCTTCTTCTTCTTCTTCTTTAGATATTCTTCGGAACTTAATTTGAAAAAAATCTGAAATCTACTGTACTTGTACTTGCCACTATCGAAATGTCGTAACTCTGTCATTTTAATTAATTACACTGCTCTAACAATAATTTTCTTTTCATTAAAAGTTGTCCAACAAAGTTGCCCTCCGTGTAATACGCGGAGCGCCAATGCAAGTAGATTTGTTCATTGTTGATCAGCCACGCGGAGCTAATTCTCCAAGAAGAGATATTCAGAATTCTAAGTGTATACGATCACTTCGTGATTTATCTCGAGTTTTACATTTATATAAAAAATTCTAAGATTATAAAATCCGAGGAATATTCGTCATCGTATCGATTGCATACCAATCGAATCGGATAATGTCTCTCTCCTCTCTTGAACGTCACGGGAGGATCGATAGGCAGCAGGGTAAGGGGGTGTAACACGGTCAAAGAAGACGAAAATATAGCTTGTTACGTAATTATTCGATGCCCGGTATCATGACGTGGACGTGGTCTAGAAGCGGTCGTTTTAAAACGATAGCAAGTCGGCCTTTAAGCAGCGGCATCGAGCGGCGCACCACCGGTTTCCAGGTTGCTGCTGGTGATCGGCGATCGCAGCGGAATCGAGCGGAGCCTCCGTTAATGGTACGTTCCGTGCGGGTTCGACACGCTGTGCGTCGACCAGGAAAATGCGAGGAGTCGGATAACCAGGAAACTGGTTTATGCGTGGTTACGCTCCGCGCCTCTAAGTGGCTACCCACTACCATCTATAGATGCTACACGTTCACGGATACTGTTAGAGAGAGACACTTAGGAGGGGATTGGCTGGAACGAAATAAAGCCGGACTCTGTGGTGGCCATTGGATGGAACAGTGGCGAACGATACAGCGAGAGAACGGAGGAAAGAGAAGCGGTTGCCTTGGCGTTGCACGTAGCACCGCGAACACGAACGTGGCGTCAAGGTGGTGGGATGATTGAGCCAGCCGGAGAGGATGAAGTTCAAAGAAAACAGTGTGTATAGAATTTCGAGAGGAGGCTATTTGCTTCCTACACGATGCTTCCTTCTCCCCCCCCCCCCCTCCACCACCATGTGTATTTCGCAATCAACCGTCCTGACTGCTGATGGATTCGGCGGAAGAAGGATGAGCGGATCGGGATACGATGGGCAAAGCGTACCAAAGTAATGCGGTAATTAAACTTTGGCCGTATTAGACCAAGCCATCCCCCTTCGGCTCTTCTCTGCTGCCTCTCTCGCTGCCCCTTGCTGCCACGATCCCTCACGCGTCCTCCACTCCGCGGGAATGTCGTGGCGAGATTGATAGTGGTCCAACATCGTAGCTTCCCCCTACCCTCCTCCCCTTCGCCTGTGGAAGAAGAAGACGACCACGACCACGGCGAAGAAAGAAGAACCACCTTATTCCGCAGGCCTCTTTCGTTGTCCCACTCCAAGGCTGGCATGGCCTGTCGTAGCTTTTCTGGTTTTACTGTCCCTCGAAGAACCAGTGGCTGTTATCGCGACGGTACAGGAGAGGTGGCGTGTTGCGACTCGTGCGTTTAATCGCGATAAAAGATCTTGTCACGGGCCATGGAACGGCATTACGATCCGTAAGCTCGAGTCTCTATCGGCCGCGAGAACACTTTATTTGCATAAAGGTTAGACACACCGCGTACCCACTGCTACTGGCCTTCTCATAACTTGTTTATTTTTCGCCTCGTCCGCGTCTCTCTCTCTCTCTTTTTCTTTCTTTCTGTCGTTGTCTCTCTTACAACCGGTCGCCGGAACACCGTGACTTTCCATCCGATATGTGGATCATGTATTCGCCATCGTTGGATAAGTTTTCTCTGATGCCGCGTATCTGTCCGTTCGACGTGCCTACGGTGTTCGTTCGTATGTGTGTGTGTGTGTTTGTGTGTGTGCGATTGGCGAACACTTTTGAACGAACGTAGGGACGTTCATGGGCCGTTCACGGTGTAACTACGCGAACGTGTAACACGCTGCTGGTCTATATATGGATCGCTAGCCTCGCGCGTTATCGAATCTTTCATTCAAATGAAAGGAGGGCAGGGGGGGTTTATCGTAACGATGCAACGCGTCACGACGAAAAATTTTCGATGTTATCTCTTAATTAGATTTCGCCGCCGGCGAAATGGATTATTTCAGAACAGTTTACGTTCCTACCTACCCATTTTTCAAAATTTTGAGATCGTTCTCGATGCCCGCGATATTTTATATCCGAGATCAACGTCGCGACGTCGTTAAAACCATCTGTTCGCCTGTTAAAAACGTACAACTTCTCGCCTCGTTCTCGTACTTTAGCCTCGTGATCTCACGTGGAAACTTCTTGTTAGAGGATGACTCGGTTAACAGGTTAAAGAGCCGCAACATATGTTCCCAGTGATTTACGAATGACCGACGACGAGATGCAGGTTGAAGCGGCCGATGGATCATCGGCCAATGGACTAAAAACTATCAATGCGCGGAATACTAGTGTAGTACCGAGAAACGAGACTTGACGCCGTTCAATACGGCGTAGGGAATATACGGAGAAACGATAAGAAAAGTGGCATGAAAAAGCCGAGCGGAGGAAGGTGTTCGCACAAGGTCGTGAGACACTTGCGTGTCTAGCGAGTTAACCGCGTATAATGGCACTACCGTTCGCTGATTGTCATTACCGTTGCTTTCCGCGTTCATCAGCTTCGTGCTTGCACAACGCCGCGTGGGTTTACCACGCTAGCCAATAGCACCGGCTCGCAGGAAAGCGTTGATCACGGGATAAAGCCCCGGTGTGTTGCTAGAAACAATATAGCCCATGTCCTTTTATGCGATTGCACTCGTTTCCTCGTCTTGAAATCCCTTCCTGTTCACCCACGACGTTTCAAACGGTTACTACGCCGTCCCGTTTCGCGAAATCGCAGCAAGAACGTAATTAAAGGATACGTCCCCGCGGAACAAAACCGCCGCGAAACGTACGAACGGAAAGAACAACGGAAAGTTGGGGGAAAACCCCGGCGGCAATTAACTCACATTGTGTACGATCGATAAATGGTCTTTCTCCGTGGAAGACCAAACCGATCGTCGAACGTAAATCTCGTGGAGAAATACGACGACAACCACCACCACCATCAACAACAACAACCACTACTACCCTGTCTTCCAACTAGCAGCACTTTCCCGATCGTGCAGAACCTACGTTTCCTACGCTCGATTAACGTAGGTGACGTAACAAACCGCTCAGTCGCTAGTCCCAAGTCCTTTAGTTAAGCAGCGATTGCTACGGTCTTCCGAGAGAATCGACCCCCTGCCACCTACAGCTGCTGCATCGTCTCGACGATGGCTCGGCTCGGCTTGTCTCTTTGGGAAACTTTTCCGCGACTCTCGTGTCGCCGAGACGAGAGTAACAGTTGCTGGGTTCTCCGGTGAAGGAGAACCTTATTGCTTCAAGATCTGTGTACCGTTGCGGGATGGGTTGTTCAAACTCGACGACTTTGAATCACTCGTAAACTGTTTGCTCGCCGCGGCCGACCAACGAATTCTTTTAATCAAAAGTTGCCCGGACAACGGACGACGAATGTCGCGGGGGGGTTAGTTAATTCGTTGCTCGTTCCCTTTTTTTCCTGTTTCT